ATAAAATAAAACAAAAACCAGAAGACTGTATATTTATATATATTGTGTACATTTATCCCGCTTGCGCATTATCGTGCTATTTTAGCTGTTTTATATATTTCTTTCATATTCTTTATTTGATTAATATTTCATAATTAAATGAGCATTATGAGTCGTGCAATTTTGGATTATCCAAACTTTTTTACAATGTACACAGAAAGAAATTTTCTTTAAAAATTAACGTTAAATTCACTCTCATCATGGGATTAATGCAGCTTTAAATTTATTACCATTTTTGAATTAAAAATTACAAAAGAAATTCATTTATTTTATGGTAGACTAGATAAAATTTAAGGAAAAATTTGTTGAAAAAAAAACTTAATAATTATCCGTCCCACGATTACCGTAAATTTAACGGTAATTTTTGAAGAATTTTAGTATATTACACTACAAGGGCAGAAAGTTTGAGATTCCTGCACTGCGCGCCATGTGCCCGAGGCGAAGCCGAGGGCATCATGGCACGCAGTTCAGGGCTCTCAAATTTCTGCCCATGTAGTGTATAATATTTTTCTTTCTATGCGGTCGAAAGTACGTTAAAAATTGCGTTGAAAAAAATTGATGCCTGTCCCCGACATTTGCGGCACGAGCGAAGCGAGTGCTGCTGGTCGGGGGGGCAGGCATCAAATACACCTGTCAATAAAGATATTAATATATAATCTATCATATTACTACTTTCTTTTGAGAAAAGATTTTAATTTAATTCAATAATTTTAAAGTTTTAAATATATTATAAATTAATTCTGATATTAAAAATAAAAAAAAAAAAAACACAAAAATGAATTCATAATCGTGAAATGCATAGAAAAAAAAATTTTTTTAAAAATCTGTTTGTGTATTTTTTAAAATAATTACTTGTTCAATAATGAATTTATTTATTTATTTGAGAAAATCTATCAGAACAAAATATATTTTTTTTTTTTTATTTGTAATTTAAATATTTAACAAGTCTCATTTCATTAAAATAAATATTCATTTTCTGTAATTAACTTAGTTTCAACTTAAAATCATTGACACATAACAAAACAGATACATTCATAACAATCACAAGTAAGGTTAGGCTTGTATACATAAGTAATAGAGTGAGCGCGACTACCGACTTTCGGACTTTCTGCCGCCTCGTGACTCGTTGTCAGTGCATGAATACATTTTTTCGGCTCCCCGTCATAGAGCGCATGCGCGACTCGACCACGGCATAAATGTGAGGCTTTCTGCAGTGAAATCGCAGCGGGAACCCGTACTTTCGACCAGCGTAGTAAGAAAAAAATTTTTCGTTCGTAAAGCACTCTCTGATGCTTCGCATCATGAGTCGTGCAAAAGCAAATCGTAGCTCCAAGTGTCTAGTTTTTAGATACGACCATGAAAATTTTTTATCATGTTTGGGTTTGGAGAAATCATAAGGAAACTACAAAAAAAAATTTTCCAAATTTTTTCTCGTCTAAAAAAGGTCTGCGGGCTTCAAAAGATTTTTTCCATTGTTTCAATCAAAGATTCTTGTAGAAAATCAAATTTCCTTTAATTTGACGGAATCAGAAAGCCTCTACGATAATTTGCCGCGGAGTTATCGTCAAAGCAGAAAAGTTCTTTTTAACTTTGATCATCAATAACTCGGGAAATAATGATGGTATAGGAAATCGAAGGAAGGTTTTAAAAACTACACGATATTCTCTATAAGATACCGTGAATGGCTTGTGACGAAAAAATTTTTTTTGAATTGAAAAATTTGACTGAAAAAAAAACAAAAATTAGTATAATTGAGGATATTTGGATAACTTGGTATAACTTTGGATAAAATGGATAAACGAAGGATATCGTCAGTAATTTTTCAACTTTGAAGTACTCCTTAAAATCTCTGAAAAATTCAAAGTGCAGCGATTTTTTTTTCATAGTGATTTTTTTTCCCCGAAGCTTCAAATTCTTTGTTTTCGCAAAAATTACCATTATGAGCAATTTTTCGATTTTTATTTATTTTGTCAATTACAAAAAAATCTTTATTTTTTCGTTATCAATTATAATTATATTTAAGTGATTAATTATAAAACAATTATTTGTAACTGGCTGGTAAAGGAGTAATTTAAATCAATCTGATAAAAAATATTAGAAATCACAATCCTGGAATCATTTTGACTGATCGATTTAAGTGTTTCGCTGTAACAAAATTCTAAAGGCTTCGATCCAACAAATTCCGAACATACCTACGTCAAACTTATTATAAAGGAATTATTATTATTATTCTCATTAAAGTCAAGGGGTTCCATTAGAAAGAATAACAATAATGAGACGCAAAGAGACGATAAATCACAATGAGCGAGAAATATAAAAATAAATAAAGAGAAATATTCGACAAATAACTGAATCAGGTACATGTATTATACATGCGTACGTAAGGGTTGTCGGTTGAGTGTAATTGAGAGGTGTCACTTTGTGGTGGGCAAAATATCGTTTGTATTTTCCCGCCAAGAGTCATTATACCGGATTATACATAGCTTTACACCTCGCAGTAAGGCTCGTTATTGTTGCTCAAACCACCGCAAGTCAAGTGTTTTATGCAGTCATACAAAAAATTTCAATAATTACAATTCTTTTTTTCTTTGAAATTTCACTTCGTTCCTGCGGATCGCAGAGAAAAATTACAATATATAAATTAGGGTGGCGCAAAAAATGGTAACGTTACAAAATACCTAATGATAAATATCTTATCAACTAATTATCGCTTAAAAAATTAAAAGCACCTATTATTGACTGGGACCCCATTATTGACACCCTATTTAATTTTATTAGTTCATTATTCAAATCTGTTAATAATCACAATTATTGATATTTCATGACAATTTTACATATTTTAAATATTAAAAAATAGTAAAATTTAATTCCAAGGTATAAACTATTTACTGCAAAAAAAATTTCATTTTTTTAAGTAGCCCAAAACTGCTTATACGTTTGTAATTTCTTAACAATATTGTTAAGGAAGATCTTATTGTTAAATCCAAATTTCTCAATGTTTTTTTTTTGTGTAATTGCATTGCTTGAAATTAATCTACAGACTCGGTAGAAGTCTGGCGCCAAGTACCGTTCAAACGCCAGCCTACCGAGTACTATACCGTAAGCAGAGCCTGATTTTAGGGTTAGAAATCTTTATATATTTATTATAATAATAATATTAAAAGTTATGTTTTTTTATAATAGATTACATCTTAATAAACTGTTAATCATTTACTTTTTAAATACTTTTTAACGAATTCTATTTTTAATTAATAAATTTAAGCAGCACAAACTATAGCAACGTAAATTTTTAGTTTTGGAACTTTTTTCGGTGCAAAATCTGACATCCATAGACTATAAGAATTGCTTATGTGCAGTAATTTCATAGGTAGACCGGAAACTCCAGTCTAAAATTGAGTTTTAACAGTTTCTATTTTTACACACTAGAGTGCGACGCGAGAAATTTTACATACACTGTAGTAACTGGATAAGTAAACTTTAGGCGCCAAGTTTTAGAATGCCAGACGTAACTTTGAGATTATCTGTTTCGGTCATTAAGAGCTAGATTTTTCAATACAGGATTAAAATTATTATATTTCATAAAAAATATATTTATAATAATAATTTAGAGATGTGTCCACGTTCATAAGACTCATTTGAATAACATTGGCACTTTGCAAAAAGATGTGAAATCCGAACAAAAACAGTTTCACTGTAAAAAAAACCGCGCCAAGTCCACGTTCATAAGACTTCGAAAAAAATTAATCGTTTTTTACAAAAAAAATATGAAATCAAAAAAACTCCAAGTACTGTTTATAACTTTATTGAAAATATGAAAAAAAGTTAGTAGCAAATTTAAAACTTTGATGAACCATTTATATTTATTAATGAAATATTTAAATACGCAAAACAAAACTAGAGAACCAGCAGAACTAATGTAAAATCCATGTCCTTCAACTAAATAGGTCGATGGTAATTCTTAATCTAACCTTGAATTTTCTTGAAATGCAGCTTGTTATTATACGACGTTTAAACTTAAAATTCTAAGTTAAACGTTCATATATGTTATGAACAAGTCTACTGAATTCAAAGATGTAAATGCGTATAGGTGAAGCTAATAAAAAGCGTGTAAAAAGAAAGTTGACAATATTGATTTGAAACACGATAAAAAAATTCAAATATTCATGATCACTCTTATAGTGTCAATAATGGGGGCTTTTACCTTACTTGCTTCCAAATTGGGACACTCTAAAGCTCAACAGTAGTTTTCATTAAAATTTCTCTGGAAACATTGGACATTAATGAAAGTATGTTCTTTATTTTATAATCAAAGTATACATGAAGTTTTATTTAATAAATAGTATAATCCTCAGTATATATCTTAAATTATCAATAATAATCTATAACATTTAACATTATATTAGCCACAAAATAATATATGATGAACATATACAATTGTGTGATATACAGGTATATTCAAATATATTGCACACAATATTTTTTTATTTCTAATTAAATTAGATTATTTTCTATGCCTAACTGGATATAAGTACAACAAGATCCTCGACCAAAGCAAGTGCATCCTGACCAAGTTTTTCAAACTTAGTGCCGCCTATTTGCTTGATTATTTCTACAAGAATTGTCTTAACATACGGTAACAAAGAAGTCAAGCTAGGCAAGATCAAAGATTTTCCAGAATCCTTCGTTTGTTCTTTGTTTGAAAGTGCGCGCCTGGATGATGCGGCAGGAGCGTCGTCGACATCCATGTCAGAGGTATCCCATTTGGCATCTACGTGGTCCACGTGTCTTCGATTTCCTCGACTGATGTGACCGTGTAAGCCTTTCATTGATCTGCGTACTGGTATTACATCTTCACCGCCAGAGTCTTCAATATCTGCCTGAAAAAATTTATATTAATTTATTTAATGTAATTTTCATCACATTTGTAACTAAAATTGCACGCCTCATAGCACGAAGCGCGTGAGGTAGTGCATTACTCTCGCCTCGTCAAGGTCAAGCTATTTTGTGATCTTTAAAGGCTTCTATTACAACCATATTGCACTTATACCAACGATTACGCCCGAACAAAATCATATATCGAGACCGGACTTTTTTCATTAGTTCTAGAATTCGATAAACTGGTGCCGTATTTCATATCAGTAGCCTAGTTTACGTAGTTTTTTTTTTTTTTTTTAATGAATTTTATTAAAATTTACTATGATACACATGTATAAAAACAATTAGTATATTACGACCTAAGGCCGGAAAGTTGGATTTCCTGGCGTATGGGATATGATGGCCGAGGCGTGAGGGGGGCGTTACCCGACTTTTGCAAAGCCGAGGCGAAGCCGAGGTTTTACTGGTCGGGCTGGACATAATAAAAAAGTAAAAATTGATAAATATTAAAAAAAATAAGTTAGTGTAAAATTTACTAACAAATGATTCGATTAAGAGAGATAAAATGCACAGAACTCATCACAAATATTTAAACTCGATTTAATAACAGAATTAATTTTTCTAAGTTGATTAAAAATTAGTTTTTAATTAGACGGATAAGAAAGATTGAAATTAAATTATTAAAAGCTTGTAGAGTACATGGATTCTTTTATAAACATTGCTTTACTAGCTGTCAAAATGTAAAAGAAAGTAAATAAAATCTACAAAACTTTTATATATCATTTTCTAAAATATTTATACAAATTATTTGTGCAATATTATTATTAAATAGTTCATTAACAATAATCTAGTTAGGAATTATTTTTATTTATTTGACATTTTTTGGTTAGTTTATGTGCTGACATGTTACATACAGACGATGTTGTGAGTTATATATACAGTTGAAACTCGCTGTGTAGGCTGGTCGCGCCACGAAAATACAAAAGAAAGCGAGGTTAAGTGCTGCCAGCCAGAAAATATGCGTAGCGCGCATGCGTTAGTGCAGGCCACAAATGTTGCTCTTCCTGGAGTAAAGTGCGTCCCGAAAGAGCGTACTTTTGGCCAGGAGAGCAAGAAATAGTATATTACACACCGAGGGAAGTCAAGTAAGAAATGTCTCAGATCACATGTAATTGTTGGCCGAGGCGAAGCCGATGCATATGGCACGCAGTGCAGGAATCTCAACTTTCTGCCCTTGTAGTGTAATATACTATTTGTGAAGTTCTATAGATAATTTTTTTTTCTATAATTTTTGCTCTGCATGTATGAAAAAATTCAAAAAAAGATTATTTATCAATGAAAACTTATTGCACACTCAAACTTAACGTATGACAAGAGTAACTTAATATATTTTATTTTGAATACATTAAAGAGATCAAAATCCTAACTTACTTGGACTAACACCGCCGCAATTGCCAGAAACAGAATGATAATTAACTTCATGACGAACTATCAGCGAACAAATGGGAACGTATTAATCTTTTCCGCCGAACAAACGTAGTATATAAAGATGTCGTGTAAACGTAATAAAATTGAAAGTTTTCAATACATTCAGTTCCACAGTACTAAATATTGCTACACCTATTTTCGTTTAGCGTCACGATTAAAAAACGACAATAAGATTATTCGTCACGCGATAACGATCCGTATGATCGTGTACATTGAAAAACAATAAAAATCAATTCGTTTATGTATTCACATTTGTTTTTTTAATCTCAATTATCGTAAAATGTAGAATCGATCAACTACCCGAGATTTCAATGTTATTTTTTATACCAAGTACTTGGTCACAGTAATCGACGATGGATTCGTCTTCATCGTGAGAGGCGATGAGCACTGAGGGAGCTTATTGGTCCAATTAAATTAGTGGTTTAAGGTGATGTGCAATAAAAGCGTCATTAATAACATTATATTGTAATTTTACTAGTACTCAAAGCTTTGGATGGCTGTAATAAATCATTATTGAATCATTGTACAGCGAAAAAAAAAATCTTTAAATATTTTATATTGCACGACTCATGATGCGAAGCATCAGAGAGTGCTTTACGATCGAAAAATTTTTTTCGCCTCATTTCGGCAACTATTTTTATTATTATAGCCTTGTTAGTTCACGGAATAAGATATTTTGCATACTATTGTCAAGATAATTTAATGGAGATTAATTCCATACTTTTCAAAAATTTATTAAGTGCAGTAGAAACGGAAAAAAACATCAAAATAGTTCAAAAAAATTTTCCCGTCCGTCAAGTATGAAACCCGTAAACACTGTAGCTTGCCAAAAAATCCATTAATTGAGTCTAAATTTTTTTATTTTAATTCTTTGAAGGAATTGCAGGTCCCCTATTGCGAATGGCTATGTAGATTATATATAATCATATATAATTATATATGTTTATATATAATTAACATACATAAAAATTTTTTGTTTGAAAAAAAAATTTTTTTTGGTAATCACAAAAGGTGTAAAATGATGTTTATAATTACGTTTACATAATTCTGAAATACAAAATTTGTCACATTTTCTATGAGATGTTTTGTCTGCTCTGCTACTACGTAATAGTAAAATCATTATTTATTTTATTATTTAAATAAGTGTTATATTATAATGAAATTCGGTAAGATAAATAAATTATGAATTATGACTATCCAAATATATTATAAAATCAATTTTTTTATTATATTTATGATAAACTCATATGATACATTAAGTAGATCATAGAATCATTATTGTCTAAGACAGCAGCACAGCAGACAGAAACTTCAAGACGCACGGAGATCACCAGCAAGTTAAGCAGCATTGAGCAGGGTTAATAGTTGGATGGGTGACCGCTGGTGTTATATCCGTAAAATTATATCTAGACATTTTTTTTCGCATTTTAATTGGTTACAGAGAATTGCGTCGGACCATGTATTAATTACTCTATCCATAAAATTAACCCAATAATTAATTAGATGTAATAAATATATAATTAAATATTGTTATATATAATTATACATAATTATATATGATTAGATATGATTATATTTGGCTATTTTTCATATATAATCATAATATATAACCAATTTATATATAAATATATATAAATATTTTTTCTCGGGAACAATATAGATATAACCTGTACTCGGATTAAAAAGTACATTTAGTTTGCGCATGCACTAAAAAGTCTCAAAATTCGCTTTGTTCGAAAGGTATTAGGATCAAAAATTTACAAAATCGTCAAAACCATAATTGCCAGAGAAATTTCTTAAATACCGATTTTGAATCAATTGATTTCATTAAAAACACTCGTTTAAAGATAAATTTGATTAGAGAAAAAAATTAATTAGCAGAAAAGAGTAAATTTGTAAATCAAATTCTTTCGAAATTTTTTCGTTAATTCAATGAAGAAATTAAAAGTTATTTCAAAAAAACTGAAAAAAAAATTTTTTGTTTTTATTTTATTGGATTTTCCAAACTTCTTTATAATTCACGATGTTACGTCATAAAATTAATTGAAAAATCCCTTACCAAGTTGGAGCTCTTTAAAATCGTAACACAATCTTCATAAATTCTCAAGCTCTCCGAGCTTTGATATTTTTGTAATTTGCCAAAAAAAAATTTCTCAAAAAATTGATTAAAATGTCACAAATAAATCTTGAGTTTACTTCTTTTAATTTTAACACACTTTTATAGCTTCAAAAAATTAATATTTTTAGAAATAAAAATTTCAGACTAAAATCTATAATTTTTTTGAATCTTTTTGATGTTATTTGTAACACAAATTTAAGCATGTGATTATTTGATTATTTGATTATAAGATTGCTACGTTTGATTTTCAAGGTTACTGAAGTTCATCCTGAATACGCCCACAAATTTATCACTGAATATTATTCACCGTCAAGTCAATGGGCTATTTGAATATGAAAAGAAGCTATTTTCACAAATAATTCTCCACATGTATGCATATGAACATAAAGGTATACAAAATCGCATAAATGAATAGCCAGTAGCCGAGCAAACAAATTCTACGATTCAAGCGATAATTTTTTTTGTATTGCTTTCTTCTTATTAAATCGATCTTCAGATTAATTTGTAATTAATTTTTTACATTATAAGATAATTAGATTTTGTAAATACAAATTTCTTTTTATATTTTTATTGGATTGTACTTAAGTATCTCATCAAACTTTTCGTATAAAAAAATTCTTCGGCAATTTCACGGCGTTGAATTAAAAAAAATAAAAATACCCAGAAGCTGTACAAAGTATAATAATAATACAAGAAAAATGAATTAAAAGCTGATCAAACTTTTGCGAATATTATGGGGAAAATGACGATGAAAGTGATGGCGTGGGTCGGAGTTCCCCGTCTGATTTTTCTCCTCTCTTGTTACGATTAGTATTATTTTTTTTTTATTTCCCTTCCAACAACTTACAAGTTTTATACGGTATTTTGTTTTACAACATCGATTCTGAAGTTTCTTAATAAATTTTTTTATTTTGACACATATTTTAATATTGATAAGATTGCTACTATTAGAAATTAAAATAGAAACAATCTTCATAAAAAAACAATTAAACAAAAAATAAGAGGACAGTATTTATTGCGTTAAAGGCAATTAAATATTCTAAATGTATTTTAATGTGAGGTCAGAATTCCCGTGAAAAAATATTCTGATCAGACTTGATATGGCCATATCAAAATTTTTTATATAATCATATCAGGCCTGATATGATCTGATATGTCCATGTATAATTTTTGATAGGTCCTGATATAACCTGATATGACCTGATATGCAAATTGGCCATATCAGGCCTGATAAAGCTTCATCAGGCTTGATATGGCTTGATCTGGTTTGATATAATTTGATCTGGGCTGATATAATTTGATATATCTAT